TCACACACACACCCCCCCGACACACACACTGTACACGGCACCCCAGGCTGCCGCACCCTGTGCCAGGTCAGCCACGATGCCGACTATGGGGTCCCCGCCTTGGAGGAGCTGGGCCAGGACCCCCGACAAGGTGGGTCCTCACCTCTACCCCGGCAGGGAGACAGCGGCGCTCACCCACCTCGATGGGCTCATGGAAAGGACAGTCAGTGCTTCTGGTGGCAGCTAAACGAGGTCTACCAGGGGGTGAGGTGGCATTTTTAGGGTGGGGGGAAGAGGGTGAGCCAGAGGGACCCTGCAGAAGGGGTGGGGGGCTGGAGAAGACATGGGCCAGCCCAGCCGGAGGGGCTGATCCTGCCTTCGCCGGCAGCAGGAGCACTCCTGGCCCCCCCGTCTCCTTGCACGGGCAGCTCCGCTGGAGGGAGTTTTTCTACACCGCCGGCATCCCCAATTTCGACCGGATGATCAGCAACCCCGTCTGCCTGCAGGTCGACTGGGATGACAACCTCCAGCACCTCCACACCTGGAGGGAGGTATTTCCCTCAGAGATAAGCCCCAAGTCCTCTGACCCCCCCAAAAATGTCCCCCTGTCCTGTCTAACCCCAGCACCCCACACCAAGGCTGGACAGGCTACTCCTTCATCGTGACCCAGCTGGGCACCGAGGGCTGGTTCCACCACCTTGCTCGGCACGCCGTTGCCTGCTTCCTCACCCGCAGGGACCTCTGGATCTCCTGGGGAGAAGGGCCGGAGGTCAGGAGATCTCCCCCAACACCCACTGGCACCCACCAGGCTCCTGGGGACCCCATCCACACGCCACCGCGGTGTCCCCCAGGTCTTTGAGGAGCTCCTGCTGGACACCGACCGGCCCCTCAACGCCGGCAACTAGCTGTCCGGGCAGCGCCTTCTTCCACCGATATTTCCATGTCTACTCACCCGTTGCCTTCGGCAAGAAGACAGGCCGGGACGGGGGTTGCATTCAGTAGGCACGAAACCCAAAGCCACGCGAGATGGGGGGGGCCGGCCTCCCTGGTGGCTTTGACCCCTCGCCGTAGAAAATACCTCCCCATCCTCAAGGATTTCCCCGCCGAGTACATCTACGAGCCCTGGGAGGCACCGCAGGCCATGCGGGCTGCCTGGTGGGCACCCACTACCCCCGGCCCACTGCAGAGCACGGGGTGGTGAGCAAGAGGAACCTGGGGTGCACGAAGGTGGCCCGCACCCGGAAAGGTAACAGATCCCCCAAGAGGCATCGAGCTCCCCCTGCAGCCCTGCCGCCACCCCGGCTGCCGCCTTCTCCTCCAGGCACCAAGCAGGAGCCACCGGCCAGCCCCTCCGTGGCCAAATCGCGAAGGAAAAAGCCCAAGATTGAGCAGCGCTGAGCCCCGCGGGGACCCCCCAGGCACCTGCCAGCTGGGTGTCAGGCACCACTTGTCCCATTCTGACCCATTTGGCTCAGTCACCTCCCTTAATTAATCCCTTCCCCTCTCCCGCCCTGGGACTGACAACTTTGCTGCTGCCACCACCCCAAAAAAAAAAATCAACCCCCCCACCCGAGGTCATGCCCCAAAGGAGGGTGAGTCACCCACCCCGGTGAGTCAGCCCCACCTGGAAACCCCCGAGCTGCCGGACCGTGCCCCAGCGGCAACCACCACCCCGCAAACCTGAGTCCCCGAGGGGCAACACCCCACTGCATCCACCTCCACCCCTGCCTTCGCCGTAACGTAATCGTTATTAAAGGGAACAGAGCAATTAAGCAAGCGCACCTCGGTTCACAACACGCCTCGACCCACCGGGCAGCAGCACCGCATTGAAATCCACCGGCAGCATGAGCTCGTTTCGGCTACGGTACCACCAGGCCGGTCCTCATCAGGGAAGCCTGCGGCCTGCTCGACTGCCTGAGGAGAGCATTAGGAGATGGGTTGAGGACAGGGTGAGCGCAAGGCAGGGTCAAAGCCAGCTCCTGGAAAGGCGTTCAGGTGAGAAAATAAGGCTACTCTTGTCTCTAAACGCACCCGCCATCAACACGCTTTATTTATGGCGCCAACACAAAGCGACGCACAGCTGCCCTGAAAGCCAGAGAAGGGCTTCTCTCCCCCAAAAAGCTCTGAACGCACCCGAACTCCTTCGCACAGGTGCCCGAAAGCATTGCGGAGGCCAGCCGAGGACCAGCGCGGCTCGCACCTCCTCACAGGGCTGGAGACACTGTCGCACAGACACGAACCCAAGCAGAGAGGGAGGCAGCCAGGACTCGAGGGAAGGCAGGCCCCTGAGGGGTAGCAGGGCACAGTCGCGCCCACGGGCCTACAACACCCCCTCGAACAGAGGCCACCGGGGCGAGGGGGACGGCGCCCGGGTCCCCGGCCTCTCACACCGCGACCTGACAGGCGGCGGCCGCCGCGCAAACC